CCGTGTTTAATTGCTGTCATAAGCAATGGGAAAAGCATGCGATCGTTTTGTCCAAAAGTGAAAATTTAAAGTCGCTCCAATTCGCCTGCTTCAACGCAAAGGAGCTCGAAATTCTGTTGTTTGACAATTATATGGTAACTGAAGTTGTGATTCGTAGTCACACACGAAATGGTCCAGAATAGTGGGAAACATGGAGTAGAAAAAATTTGCCTGGACTTCAAACTAAAACTTACGATAACAGCTTCGATGCAGTGAGCTCCATCGTGCACAAGAGCTCGCAAGGCTCTATCTATGATAACATATCTGAATTTGATACATCTTTCCCATTGAACTTCTAAAAACGCGCAATTGACTACTCTACTGATAAACTAGAACCTCTGATCTGAATCAACGCACTGGTGGAAGCCGTTACTGATGTTTGCAGTAGACCACGGCAATCGCACGAATCCAGGCGTATCGAAATTCAAATTCATATCAGTGCATGCCTCGGGCAGCGGTTTTGGAGGCGACTCTGGAGCAACATTGAATTAACCTTGAAAAATGATGAAACAAAAGTTTGTGTAATTTCAGAACCTGTAGAAAGAGTTGAAACTTGAAAGGCACAATAATCGCTGTCGCTCATCAAGTTGTTCAAATTAGGCTCAATTTCTGAAGAATACAGCTATGAAGAAACATAGAAAAAAAAACTCCAAAAAAGAGCTCTAGTGCATCGATGCACATAATTGGGAAGAAAAAAAACCAATGATTACCATAACGATTAGCAGCCTTTGCAAGTATAGTTTCCAGTCGCTTAGCGTTGGTCAGTTCCATCTTTCGAGGTGAATACAACAGCTCAGTCAGAGGTTGTGACCTAAGCAGATACTTGGCAACCTTCGCACAATGAACAAATTTCAGCATTTAAAAGGCGTAAACAATATAGTGAGTGATACGCAACGGATAGGATGCCACATAAACGGCGCCAAAAATTGCAAACTCAAGGCTGGGGAGCGCAAAATAATTACCTTTTGGAAGGGCTAATGCTGCTTGTTGATCAGATATCTGACCGCATTTTTGAAAAAAAAAA